AAGACGATCTCATTCAGTGATTCTCTAACTGATATCAGCCCGTAACCAAACTCGAAATCAATTGAATCCCTAAAAAAACAACACTTGAAAATTTATCTGATGCTCACTGGTGACTTACTACTGCTTAACTAGATTATGACCGATAAGAGTTCACAAAGTCTGGTGTATAGCCAAATACTTGACAATGATATTGGGTGGTGACATGGAGTTAAAAGTCTCCAATTAGCAGAAGTTAGAGTTCATCGGCCAGTGGATTCCATCCCAGTCGTCGAATGGTCTAATAGCTCATCGAATAACTTGAAGATCATATGTTCGATCCCTGGTAGTTTGGATCATAAACGCGCGTTTCTGAAGAGTCCCAAACTAGGACGAAACAACTGTCCGCGCTTCTTAGTTTTCAATGGTTCTCTTACTGATATAAGTCTGTCATTATGTAATGCATCAGACTATGAATCCAATTTATCCCTTCTAACAGGCAAAACTATTTTGTGGGTTAATTTCGTGGGGAAAGAAAAATAAAATTTCACTGAAATAAATTTATTTTAATCCTTGTTGTTTTTCTCTCTCTCTCTTTCTCTCTGTCTCTTGCATTTATTATATAACAAAAACAAAAAATTACATTACCCTATTACATCATATTCGATGTTTATGAAAAAAAACTCAGGTTTTGCAATCAGACGTTGATCAGAAAATTTACCAAAGTCAAATAAACAAAAACAAAACACCTTTGAGAAACAAACAAAACAAGTGTGACAGATAATCATAGACAGCTGCAACGATTTCATCATGAGAACCACTGGAAAACCTGAGAATATTGGACAGTCGGCTGTTTCGTCCTATTGTGGGACTCATCCGCAGTCCACATCCCCTGGGAGGGTTCGAAACCAAGACCTACAGGTTACAAGGCAAGCTTGTAGACCATTAAGCCAATGACCTATGAGTTCCAACTTGTGCTAGTTTATGATATAGTGTGACCACTAGGCAGTATCACTGGTGCATATTTTGACATCTTCATGCAAAGGATCTTTAATACAAGAGAGCTTGTGTTAGGCGGAATAATATGTTCAGTAATAATAAGGTTATGCGTAGAGTGCCTTAAATATAGTTAGTCAATCGACGAAGTTGTGAAGCACTTTGATTAAAATGCCTAAGACACATGTTGTGCATTCAGAGCCATCACCATCCTCAACGAGCGGTGTTAGCTTACATAGGATCAGGTGGAAAAGAGTTAGCGGTGGCCAACCAAAATATGACTGACATCAGTCTATGGAGTTTTCGTGTTTTCTAGTCGAAACCATCATGTAGGGAGGTGTAGACTGTCTGGTTACGATCCTTGAGATCCTCAGGGGTAGCGTCTCTGACTGTAACACTCGGTGACGCGGATTCGAATCTCAAAAAGGGACATGAGTTCCTTGAAGACTGCAGATATATACGCTTTTCTGATAAGTGCCAATTCTAGATATCCACAGATTTCGATTAACGCTATAACTTATTATAAACCACATATGTCAAACTTATATTCGTATAAATGTCGATGAAATTGAAATCAATATTTCAACGTTACGTTTGGCAAATTTGGTTCGAACTTGTTCAGGGAAATAATCAAAATTAAAACTAATCAAAGGTGTATATAAATAAAGGGGTATATTTTGTCCTTAAAATTTTTATCCAATCATTTTATGAGCCAATGAATAGTCATCAAAACCAAAATAAAATAAACCAAATCGCTTGAAGTATGATCAAGATTTGACCAGTAAAAAAAACTTAATCCTGTTTCATATGGATTGATCACTAGGTGATATCAGGTAGGAAACCATTAGAAAACCATCCGGGAGTTCTGGAAAGTTGGCTGTCTCGTCCTGGATTTGAACTCTTCAGCGGTATGCACCTCCTGGAGGTCGAACCCAGGACCTTCCAGTTGAGAGGGAGCTGTTTGACAAATTGCTCGGTTGAAAAATGTTTACTTCAAACACTACGTTTAGTGATGACAAAAGTGTCATTCTTTATTCGAAAACTGTAATTAAAGACTGCTGTAGAGTAGTTACACACTTTAAATCAGATGAACAATTTTCAAATTATTGGTATTAGATGGCTGGAGGTGATCGGCAGAAAGCCCTACTGACACCTCGGTTTCATACTAGTTGACACTCACCAATCAGCAAGGCGTATGTTCAACCTTCAAGAAACTGACTCCCCTTTTGAGATTCGAACCCGTATCTCCCAGTGATACAGTTAGAGACGTTATCACTGAGCTACTGGAGGTCACGATTGACCTCCTGTAGGGCTATGATTGCTCGCCAACTAGCATGAAACCTAGGTCAAGTAAGGCTTCCTACCGACTGCCTTCAACCATCTAATATCAACAATTCACAGTGCACCATAATGGCGTGCTACCTAGTCGCATGGTTCCCACATTGCAAACTTGGCTGATTATAGAATTCAGTCTGCACCAATGATAGGACTAGACATGTACACACATTACACTAGTTACTGCCTAGTGTCCAATTAAAATTGCAAATTAGTTAACAAATTGCAATGATCACAGTCTCATCATCAGTTTCTCTTGGAAACCAAATCATTCAGATCAAAATGCATAGGATCTGCCTGATACCATAAATTCTGTAATCAAGACAGTGAGCATATTTACATAAGACTACATACTACTGAGTGGTATAAAACTACTTATTTCAATCAGTCAGTAGTATATAGTTTTATTGCCTTCTTAACTACCATTCATAGTAATGTCAAGCAGATCATAGATTGTGTGTGTGTGTGATCTGAATGACTTTGGTTCCCAAAGAGGAAACTGTGATGAAAATTTTATCCCTTAAACTGCGTACACTGCAAATTATAAATTTGATCTATAGCATCACTAGGTCAATCAAATAGTTAACTAGAAGTCGGCTAGTTTGAACTGATTCGGCTCTTTCAGATGAGTCAAACTAGCTAAGAACACCACTTATGAGCTCAGCCCAAAATAAGCGAAATGCCCATCCGGTGTTTGAATCTCTTCCACCTGACTGGTTGGCAAGCACCACTTTTTGATGTAACAATCAATCGGTAGTATTCAAGTATTGGTTTACGGGTATTTGATTGGTTGTAGGATTTCATCATGAACTGATATCAGTGTCTAACTGATCAATCAATCAATCTGACGCTCACTACAGATTGGCTCTATTCAGAACATTCAGAGCACGTCCCTGACTGTAGCACTCACTGGGTGTCGCGGATTCGAATCTCACAAGGAACATGAGTTCCTTCAAGGTGATTGCAGATACGCCTTGCTGACTGACTGACTGATTGATGAGTGCCAACTAGCACGAAACCTAAGTTAGGTAGGGCTTCCTGTGACCGATTACCTCCAGCCATCTAATACGTTCCTGACTGCATACAGATCTAGTATTTCTGTACTGTCTGGATAATGGAATTATAAGAAGCAATAAAAAAAATATAGATATAGAAGAGTGTCACCGCAGAAAATCTTTCCCAGAAGGTATGTCACATCCGTTTTTTAAGTTCATGGGTGGTGTAGAGTAATAAAAAGGGTCACGAAACACTATGATATACAGTTATCTGGTTGAATTTACGTGCAGAAGTAGTCTTCGCTTATCACTGAAAGTTCAATAAGGAATTCGGAGACATCGTTGGAACACATATATATATATATATATATATATATATATATATATATATATCAATGTTTCCCTATATATGTATTTTTTTAAACGCCGTATTATATTCATCTAGAAGAATTTTTGAATTGAGCGGTCTTACAATGGGCTAATCCGATTGGCTAATAAAAGTGTGTGAAGGTCATTATGGCTGTCGTTCACTTGGGTCACTGTACTTTAGAGTAACTGTGATTTCATATAAAATGCTAAACTTTTCAAAGAATAAGATTATAAAAATTGAGGATTTAAATAATGTATGTAGAAAAACGTGAAGACAGGGATATCTTGGACCGACAGACGTGAAGAACCTAGAAGACCTGGATTTCTCCCGTGGATGATTTATGCCTGATGTCACACAAAGTCGAAGACTTACAAGCGAAAACCGACCGACAAACTGGTCGGAGAAGCAGTCGGCGAAGACAGGACTCCAGGTGAAAATAGAAAAGACGGAGGTTATGAAAATAACCAACCAACCAACCAATAACAAAAACAGCAGCAGCAACATCCACCGCCAATCACCATCAACGGGAGGGATTCGAAAGAGGTTACTTCATTCACTTACTTATCTACGAAGCATTGTCTCAACTACACGAGGAACGGACAAGGATGTCAAATCGAGCGAGAATCGGGAAGGCGAGCGAGAAACACATTCACTCATCAACCTGAAACAATCAATCTGGAAATCTTCGTCACTCAACTCAGCATCAACAACAAAATTCGGTCGGATTTTCAATACAAACAACGTCAAGTCAGTCAGTTCTTCTATACGGATCAGAAACTTGGTGTTGGTGGTGGAGGGGGTCACAATGAATATTTCCAACAGCCTGTTGCAGACCAGCCTTTATCAACAAGTGTCAACTATCGCTCTATACTGAAGATCACATGGTTGGGCCGGAAAGAATCACCAACAGGAAACTATGGGAAGGAACAAACAAAACAAGAACAAACCAATCACCAACCAACAAATATGCAGGAGAAAGTGGAGATGGATTGGACACTCACTCGCTGAGGAGGCCGCCGCTTGGTGACATTGCGCGCGCGTCAGGCTATTGCTCGAGTGAAACCAGGCTGAAAGGTAAGCACGTGGCGAGTGGGACGTCAGTGCAAGAGTGATATGGAGGATATGGTGTGAAGAGGAGTTGAAACAGTATGAACGGACTAACATGGATGCAGGTGAAAAGTACAGCAGAAGGAAGACAGAAGTGGCAAGTGGATAAGTGCAGTTGAAGCCGTATGTTCCACTAGGAACTCAAGGTAACAATATAATAAATAAAATGTAGAGAAAACTATCAAAACTCATCTTTTTTAAACATGAATATTACTCACCACTGTGAACAGGTAATTTCTGATTATTGTCGTCTGAGACACGGTTTGAAGTATCCAGTGATTGATGAATGTGTTGTTTTGATCGCTCCCTATTTTGGTTCATTTTTCTCTGATGACTGTTCTTTGCAGTTAATTTCGCATTATTATTATTATCACTTCTGTTATTGACATCAAAACCAGCCGACAGCGATGATGACGTTGATGACGAAGGAGATGAGTAGGAAGAAGACTCAGAGATGGAGGATGAAGAAGATCTATTCTTCTTTTCCGTAGATATTTTTGTTCGATTCCATTGACTACTTTTTCTATACACCTGTCTTGAACTTTTATTTATCCTTTTATTACTACCTTTGATCATGAAATGAACATTAGCAACACAGCTGGTTTGTACACATGAATCTATCAGCGGTTTAATTTCATCACTGTTTTCTGTGGCGCATTGAATCTCCTTTGATTGATTCACCTGAAGAGGTTGTGTGCGCGAAAGTAAATCCATCTGTTCTGAACATTCTGTATACTTGTCATACGATTGAGGAGTTATTTTGGGCTGAAATTATACAAGAGTGAAAAAATATATATACAAATTATACCGATATTATTCAATACTATATTGGACAATATGTAGTAAGTAGTTAGTGTCATGTGTCTACTCTTTCGTCTAATGCAGACTAACTCCTCTCAGTGATAACGTCCCTGATTGAAGCACTGAGTCATTCAGGTTCCAAAGCATATGAGTTCATTTAAGATTGTAGATACGCCTGATTGATTGACTGGTGACTGCCAACTAGCTCGAAAGCTAGATCGGGAAAGGCTCCCTGTCGATTACTTCCAACAATTTAACAACCATTAAGTATTTAGAAGTTAATTGGTGGATAGTTGACTAACAGTAGAATCCACCAGGATAACGCGCATTTCGTTCTATTTGCGACTCATTAGCCAGCGGATGTACCTGCATTCCCCAGTGAGTTGTGCGTGCTATTCCCACCGAGGCTCGAACCTAGTGACCATAGTTTCATACGCCAATGCGTTATCTACTAGACCACTTGGGCCATGAGAACCAACTCTTGTGCATCGGGTCATATTGATTATTTAATTCAATTGTAGATTTTCCAGTCGATCCTATTTGGGACCTGCGGAATACAGGTACATCCAGCTGTGACGAGTCCCAAATAGGACGAAATGCGCATCATGGCTTGATTCCACTGCTAGTCACCATCCACTAATTAACTTCTAATTACATTCCCAGACATCGTCGAAGCGTCTGCAGAAGAAGCCAATATGTCAACCTGAGATCAATCACTTCGGTGCAATCAATCAATCGACGGGAAAATCCAAAATTCGATTAAACCATTAAGTATGTTACTGAATATTTCTGGACACTGAGAGATTCCCAACTGCCTGTATCAACCGAGTAGTAGTATATTAGTTTCGAAACCAGTTAACCTGAACAGATATATATTTCATTTGGCAGTCTGATAGAAAGACATTTATCATGTGAGAGCTGATAATACCTATCACCTAGTTGACAAGATTGAGTTAGGCGGAGTGAGATTGAGAAACCCGGCACCTGCTAATTGACAGTTCAGTACTTATTTTGATTTGACACTAGTAACTTGTGTGATGCGTATAGTCCTCTGATTGGTGTTGACTGAATTCTATCAGTCAGGTTGTAATGTGACCACCATTCTAGCTAGCTCGCCATCACGATGCACATTGATTTGATGGTATTAGATGGTTGGAGGCAATCGGCAGGAATGGTGGTCACATTATAACCTGACTGATAGAATTCCTACACCAATCAGAAGACTAGACGCATCACACTAGTTACTAGTGTCAAATCAAAATACCCTTAACAGTCCTACAGGAGGTCAATCGCGAGCCCGAATAGCTCAGTGGTAACGTCTCTGACTGCAGCACTGGGTGACGCGGGTTCGAATCTCAGAAGGGACATGAATTCCTTCAAGGTTGCAGATACGCCTTGCTGACGAGTGCCAACTAGCACGAAACCTAGGTCCAAGACTTCTTACCGATTGCCTCCAACCATCTAATGTCATCAGTTCAATACTTAATTGAATGACTTACATCTCTAAAAAGCAGAATCATTTCAACAATAGACAGGCGGCACAGATAAGAATGTCAAAGTCTGCCAAAATGAGGAAAGCAAGGCATTTTTTTAATATTACTTGCCCTATTCAGGTAGGTAGTTATCTGGGGTTCTAGCGAGAAATCGTGACCAGTAGGGTGCAGCAGGTCGGGTGTGAGGACAAATACTCGCCGAAAGCATTGGCTAGGGGTCACGCTAAGTTGTCCGTGAATTGGCAGAAGCTGGAATTCATGGGCCAATGGTCCGGGTCCCAGTGGCTTAATGGTATACGAGCTCGCCTTGTAACCAAAAGGTTCTGGATTCGAACTTCCTGTGCTGGGTGAGTACTGATGAAGAGTCCCAAACTAGGACGAAACAGGTGTCCAGTAATCCATGGTGGTTTTCCAATGGTTCTCTAACTGATGTCAGCTCATGATGAAATCCTGTAACCGATCAAATCCCTACAGACGAACACTTGAACAGTATTACTTTTTATTTCAAGTCTTTGCATTCCAAGTGGAACATAATGTTTCATGGTTGGCCTTTGAAATTTTACTGGCAGCGGTTTTATTTTTACAGCATAGGATTGCTAACCTCACGCATAACCTTACTTCTTTATCGGGCTTACTATCAATTAATAAAGGTGAAGGAGTGTATTAGCCAGGAATCGAGGCTCCAACCAGATGCATAGTTGGTGAGTACTCTATCGATGAACCATTGATACAGAAGGGTAACAAAGCTTCTTAATCAGGGAGTACTGGACAGCTGCTGTTTCATCCTAGTTTGGGAATCATCGCCAGTACACACCCACTGCCAGGGTTCGAAGCCAGGACCTTCCGGTTACAAGGCAAGCTCGTATACCATTCAGCCACTGGGACCCCATTCAATGGCTCATGAATTATAACTTCTACCAATTCGTGATTTAGCGCGACCCCAACCATTGTCGTTGGTGGGACATCCATCCACACACGTGACATCTAATTGGGCCTCACTGGTCACGACTTCTCACTAGAACTCAGGAAACTTCAAACTGTAGCAAGTCACTAGCGAGCATCAGATGTCCACCAACGACAATGGTTGGGGTCGCGCTAAATCACGAATTGGTAGAAGTTAGAATTCACGAGCCATTGAATCGGGTCCCAGTGGCTGAATGGTATACGAGCTTGCCTTGTAACTGGAAGGTCCTGGGTTCGAATCCCAGTGGGTGCGTACTGGCGATGATTCCCAAACTAGGATGAAACAGCAGCTGTCCAGTACTCCCTGATTTTCAATGGTTCTCTAACTGATATCAATCCGTGATCAACTCGTAAAACATAACTAATCCTTACAAACCAAAACTATAGAAAAGCTTCTTAATTCTAAAATCACTGTGTAAATCTGCTGCACTCAGTATAATGGACAAGATTCGAAGAGTCAACACTAAAGTCAAGTCAATGCTCCTACACGGTTTAGAGATCTTACAAGTACGTCACTTAAAGCATCTTCAAAGCTGAAAACTTTTATCAGCACTCATCTAAGCTGCAAACTGAATATCAGATAGCCAGAAGTGACTGACAACTACGAAATCCGACAGACAACGAAGCAACCAAGAGCCTATAGGCTAATAAATATGTCAACAGAAATAGAGATCAACTGGATACAAGATGAGGAGACCACTGAGTGACATACCCCGCCAGGTCGGCCCTCGAATGGAACCCAAACTGGAAACGAAGAGGTCGGCATCGGTCAGAGAGTGATATAGAGGTGATCGTATGAAGAAGAGATAGGAGCCCATGGGCAGTTTTGAAACCAGATAAAGAGGATTGGAGATAAAAGGATGAAATGGGGATGTGCTAAAAGCCCTTTGTGCCATACAGGACCCAAGTTCTCTTGTCCATCCCAAGCAAAATACTAAGCTGCATCATCCTGGAGAGAATCAAACAAGCCAAGCTGGATGAAAAAATTTCGACCAGAACAAGCTGAATTTAGGAGAGACAAGTCACGTATTGATCAAATCGCCACACTACGGATCATTATCGATCAGAGCTTGGGATGGCAGTCATTTCTTCACTTCATTCAACTTCATCGACTTTGAAAAGGCCTTCGATAGCGCAGCGTCGATTGAGAGGTGATTTGGAAACTACTTCACTACTACCAAGGGGTGCCATCGACAATTATACAGCTCATCCAACAGTTATACGGCAATTCTGCAGGCCAAGTAATCCACAACGGGAAACTTACGGAAGCCTTCGAAGTGAGGACGGGAGTGAGGCAAGGCTGTCTACTATTTCCAATGATTTTCCTGATTCCAGTAGATTGGATAATGCGACAGACAGCGAGCAATGAGGAAACAGGCATAAAATGGACTCACACAAAAAACTTGAAGGATCTGGACTTCGCCGATGATGATATATGTCTGATTTCCCACAAACTGGGAGATATGCAAGTGAAGAGCAACAAGTTGGCAGAAGAAGCATCGAAGATAGGAATTCACTTCAGGTGAACATAGTGAAAACAGAGGTGATGAAGATTCTTGGCCAACACCAACAGCAACAACAACAGACAACAATCAGCATAAATGGGAGGAGCCTAAAAGGAACCAGTTCCTTTACCTACCTACCTGGGAAGCATCGTTTCAGCTACAGGCGGACGGAACTGATGATGATATCAAAGCAAGAATGGGAAAAGTAAGGCAGGCTTTCATTACTCTCAAGTCTGTGTGGAGGTCAACAGCACTCAGCATCAAAACGAATATAAGATCCGGATTATCAATTTCAGTGTGAAGTCAGTGCTATCAGCTATACGGATCAGAGTCTTGGCGCATCATAAACAGAATCTCAAACAAACTTCAGTCCTTCATTAACAGTTGCCTTCGCTCAATACCACTCAAGATCAGACGGCCAGAAAAGATCACCAACAGGGATCACTGGGAGCGAACCAGCCAGAAACCGATTGTGAAACAAATAGGCAGGAAGAAATGGAGATGGGTTGGTGGCCATACTTTGAGTAAACAAACCATCAAGTGACAACACTAGACAAGCCATCGCTCGAGTGGAAACCGAAAAGAAAGCGGAGAGTTGGTCGTTAGTGCGAGGGTGACTTGGAGGAGGTCATGTGAAGAGGAGATGAAAGCATGTAGTTGGCAGACTTGAAGCGGGGTGAAAACGTTGGCAGAAAACTGAAGGCAATGGAGACGTGCGCGGCTGAAGCCCTATGTTCCTCTAGGAATTAAAGGATATTATATATATATATATATAATACCCTGAAAAGTTAACTATGAAACACAGGACCAAGAGAGTAGAAAAGAATCCATCTATATTTGTCAAGAAAAAGCCTCTATATGTAATACTAAAATTCATAAGTGACATACCAAGTGTGAACTAATTACCAACACGTTACGAAAATTGATTCAAAGAACGTTTTATGTCGGTAAGCCAAAACCGCATACCCAGGGTAGCAATACACCTCTAATTGAATCTGTCAGT